TCTCCTCTCAGTCAAAGCAGTGAGAGGTCCTGTTTCTTCTAAGGACCTGTGTGGCCTTACTGAGCCCGTCACTTCAACCCTTTGAGCCTTAGTTTCCTTGCCTGTAAAATGAGAGGGGCTCATTTGGTCTCGAATGTTCCATCTCATTCCAGACTCTGATCAATTCTGTGACATTTCACAAGAGAGGTGACAGACTCGGTGGTTTAAGCACAGAGGGCTTAGGCCATGTCCACGCACAGGAGTTCGATGGCCTTCGGCATGACCATGAGTCTTCATGCCGGCCTCTCACAGCAGGGTGAAAAATCACCAAAGGGCCGGGAAACCCGCCACTTGCCCGGCGCACCAAAAACTGCTCTCCAGAGGTCACTTGAAGTCAGACTAAAATTCAGTCACCTCTTTGAAGGTCGCTCTGTTTTCCTCAGTTTCTTGATTAAAACAAAACTGAAAAAACCCCACCCCTGGTGACCCGTCCTGTGGCTGGAAGCATTCCTAGGGGAAACTGAGAAAATGAATGACTTAGTGGCTTACTGAAATCTCACCTGACTCCTGCCAGACGTAGGGATCCGGGTGCATAGCCCTGCGTCAAATGGATACTGTGATTATTTCGGTGTTAACTTCAAGTCCTACCGAAAACAATGCCGCTTCATTTTCTTAAGTGATCAATGCCATTGCCTTATTCACTTTGTTCCAGAATGCTTTTTTTACTTGAAATTGGTCCCAAAGCCAGGATGGATCTACTCCGGAATTCTGGCTTGAATGAATGTCAGGAAAGAGGATCAAGGAAGAAGGTTCTGGTTGGAATCTATCAGTGGTTCTCGACCAGGGGCAAGTTTGCACTCCTCCCGCTCCCCGAACATGTGGTGATGTCTGGAGACATACTTTTCATTTGTACAAATGTGTGTGTGGTGGGGGGTCATTACTACGTACGTCTCTTGGGTAGAGTTCACGGCATGATCCAGCCCAAAATACCAGTAGTGCTCTGAGGTGGAGAAGCCCTGACATAATTCTCCTGGGGAAATAAAAGAAAACAGCCACAGGGACAGAGGGACAAAAAGGAGGGAGCAGAGGAGATCTGTCCCTCAGACAAGGAGAGGCATATGAGCCCAGGGAAAGGCTGGTCCTCAGTAACTCATCCAGCTTCCCTCCCCTTCCCTCAGCAACCCCCCCCAACCCCCCCCCCTCCTTTCCCCCCCCCCCACCTCGTTTTCCTTCCTCACCTCTGGTCTTCCCTGCCCCCATTCCTCCATTCTGAAATGCCTCTGTCAGGGAGGGACCCTGAGGCCCTTCTTGGGGATAAAACTGGCTGTGGGGAAAATATGTGATCAAGAGAAGAAGCTAGTAAACTTAGGAAAAAGTGCTTAACAGCAGAAGCGCAGCATAAATGGCTATTAAAACAATAAAGCATGTTAAAGGCAGTTTTTAACTGTTGTTCTGTTGACGTTTAATGCTGAGTGTGGCTGCCTCGGTGGGCTTAAGATAGAAAGGATTCTGATTTCAGATTTTTTTTAAAGATTTTATTTATTTATTTGACAGAGATCACATGTAGGCAGAGAGGCAGGCAGAGAGAGAAGGAAGCAGGCTCCCCGCTGAGCAGAGAGCCCGATGCGATGCAGGGCTCGATCCCAGGACCCCAAGATCATGGCCTGAGCCAAAGGCCGAGGCTTAACCTGCCGAGCGACCTAGGCGCCCCCCCACTTTTTTGTACACCATCAAACGTACACAAAACCAAAGCAGGATATAGCAACAAACGGGGAGGGAGAGAAAACACTGATCAGCTCTTTCTGACCACGCCGCACTACGGCTGCCTTGGCCCCAAATAAATGATCGTGTCCAATCAAAATCCATGGAAGCAAGTGCATTTCTCAGATCGACTACAGTGCCGAACTTGTGTGTGTACAACAAAACAGCTTCAAACAACCAGGGGCAGAACCATGTTCGTGACTGCTCCGATGCAAAGCAGGAAGGAATTAGTGACTCATCAAAAACTGGCCTTCTTGTGCCATCTGGGTTTTCCCCACACACTCTTTAACTTGTAGGACCTTGTCTGTGAATTTTGTCTTCACCCAGTGTTGTCTTTCGAAGGCTCTGAGCGCAGTCAGCAGGGAAATGAGCACACCGTCGCTGAGGACGGGGGTCTGTCCCCTTTGCAGTACTAGGAGGCTGCTCAGTAGCCCTGAGCCCACACAGGATATTCTGGGGCTTAAACAAATTTAGGGTCCGTTCCTTGGCCAGATGAGCACACGTCAGTGGCACCTCCTGAGTTCATTCTATAGCAAATATACACCAAAATGAACATTTGGGACACCCTGCCTTTTCCTTGGACTGTGTCCCGGGGTCTCTAAGGACCACTTAGGGGATTGAGAGCAGCTGTACCAAGGACTGGCCATCCCACCGGGTCTCAAATGCATTTTCTAGAAGTGCCTCCCTTTTCCCTCCTTTATTTGTGACTACAACTCTTTGGCTTCTATAGTGACTTGACAAGGTATTTTGTAATGACTGTGACATCACAGGTCACTGCACCGAGTCGGGCTTTTTGTTGTAACTGGCACAAAATCAGAGCCACGCTTGTGGGATTCCTCAGCTGAGGCAAGCACTGGGGATCCAGAACCATCTACCTTAGAAGACAGAATGGGGGTGACCAAGCATGCTGGTTTGCTCAGAACGGAGGGGCTTCTTGGGGTACCAGGTTTATGGCACTAAAATTGAGGAAGTTCTTGGCCAGCCAAAACAAGTGGTTCGCCCGATAGGGGAGTAATCTTCTTTGCCTCTTGGGAACCACAACCTTCAGTTACTAGCTATTTCCACTAAATCTACAATAGATAGCATAGCCTATGAAAACTATGAAAACCCCTATTCCAGGGGACTTTAGCAATCATCTGCCCTCTCATTTTGGCAGATACTCACACTTAAGAGTGGTGTAGACATTTTCCCAAGGTCACACAGCTTGCTAGTGGCATATCAGGAACCAGGCTCTAGATTGCCACGGTCCCCATTTAGGACACTGTCCATAGCATGCCCGCCTTTCGCTTTGCTGGTCTCTTTTTACTGCTCTTTTAAAATGCAAAAAAAAAAAAAAAAAATGTAAAGTGACTTGTTGTTGTTTTCCTTTTGGCCGTGGAACTCTGCCATTAGAACAGTGTGAACTGGGGCAGGGGCGGGGCGGGGGACAAGAAGGAGCAGGTGCGGCAGAGGGTGGTGGCGGCCGAGGCCACGAACTGCATCATGGAGGTCTCCCGTGGCCAAGCAGAAAGCAGCAAGAAGCCCAAAGCCAAGGATATGAAGTCTAAGAAGGATTACTTCATTCCTATGCTCACCTTGGCATTCACGAGATGATGGAAGATAAGGCCCATGCCCGCGGGTACAGAAACTCCATGTTTCACAACCTGCACCTCTTCAAGGACAAGGTGGTGCCAGATGTGGGCTCCTGCACAGGGATCAAGTGTTCCCGTATCTCTGATTACGCAGCAAGATTGCCAAAGCCAACAACGGAGACCGTGACCATGAACAGCCGAGGCCATTCACAACAATCCGATTCGATTCTCCATCCCATCACACCACCAACCGAAAGCGGTACCAATATAAGCGGTAAGGGCGGTTTGTCTCTTTTCCCCCAGCTAAGGATTCATTGGCGTAAATGCAACCAAAAGAGAACGGCAGTTACCGTAGGCCATTCTTCCCTGCCGCCTCTATAGCCACTGGGAGGATTTTCAACACACGATCATTTGTTGCCACCGAACGCTGCCGTGGACAGAGAAGGTCACACGCCAGGACTACGTGCCTCTGGGTGAGGGGCTGGTGCTTGTGACTTGACCACACGCGCACGCAGCTTAACATCTCGAAAATGCATGAAAATCTTGCTGCTTCACACCTACTTATCGTTTCAGAGGGAAGACTTAAGATGCCTGCTCTAAAAGGTGAGATTAATGTACAAAACACTCCATTCTAAGCACCGTACGGAGATCTCATTCAATCCTCATCATCGCCCAATAGAGGTCCTGTTCTCCCATTTCCCATCTATGGAAACTGAGGCACGAGACGTGAAGCAACCCTCCCAAAGAGCTTTCGTTGCTGGTTTCACTGTACTGAGTGGCGAAACCCGCTTCTGAGCATCGCGCGCTTTGCTTTCCAGGGGAGAAAACAGTTCAGAGGCTACAGTAAAACAAAGCAATCGGAACACAGCTCTGGAAAGCAAGGGCAGGGACAAGGTGGAGGGGGTGTTCTCAGGCTACAGGGAAATAAATCAGGAAGATGAAGATTCCTAGTAAAAAGGAGGGATCCCATTGACTTCTCCACACAATCTACACGAATGATATAGTGACACGTCTCAGCCCTTAACTTCTGTCTTCAAGGGCCATCCTCACTCAAGCACGTCATACAAATGCCCTGTGCCGTCCCGCTCTGGTCGCAGTGGGAATACAGCCATTGGTTGTGGAACATTCGCCACAAATTCTCATCTATACTGGCGGTCCCTTCATAAAGCCCTTTTGGATCTCCTCAGCCCGATTCGGCCCTCTGCCCCCTTGTATTTGCTTTCCCTTCGCCACTCAGCCTGTCCACCCTGGAGGTCAGCTGGCAGATTGGCTACGGACACGCCAAGATGAAATGAAACACTTTGGAAGGGGTGTGACAGCATTACTAGGTGTAATTGTAAAGTTGGTGACGTTTTGGGATCCCACCTCTTTTATTTTCTTCCTCCCTTCTAGTATATTCCATCACGTTGGTTCTTAAATGGCGATCTTCTCGGGCAGACTGTTACTACTTTAACGTATAAGTGCATTGTGCCATTTCTGACTTTTATAGGCAACATTGGGAATTATCAACTTGGGGACAAGGAAGGCTGCTGCTGGTCAGTCCCGAAATACCTTCACCATGGAGAAAAGCTGACTTCAATTAACTTCTGGCTTCTCTGTAATTTTATATGCCGGGCTAGCGTCATGAAGTGGCAAACACGTTCAGGAGCCCCATCAAAACGCAGCACTTTGCAATGAGGACACAAACTATAACAGAAAGAAGTAGCACGATTTTATTGAAATGTGTTAGTACAGTGTTCGACGACCTTAAAATCCTATATCCTAAACCCATGTAAGCACTGCATCCGAACAGAGGCACATTCTAACAGGAGCATCTGCACGCGGATTAACACACTTTTGGCCGGAGCACGGGCAGCTCTGGGGCACGTGTATTTCTGTGGCTCCCCTGCTCGGCCCCACACACGTGAGTCGGACCCAACCGAGAGATCTGGTGGTTTCGCTTAAGGTCCACACACAAGCAGCAAAGGCTAGCGAGTCTGGGGATGGGGCCGCTCCCGAGGCCCCCTTCATCATCTTTCTTGAACTGAAACCATCACATAGTCGAGGGGGTCTACACTGCCGCTGTGTGTGGCCAAGTCTAGTCGAATTAGTTAATGTATCAGAACTACTTGAAAAACAACAAAGTGAGACTAGAAGAGAGAGGCGGTTGTTAATTCAATCATGATCATGCAAATTTTTATCTGAAGATTATTCTGAAACTAGCTCTTAGACTTGAGAAAAAAGGATCACATTTAAATCAACTTTTTTCAGTCATGTTAATGTGTCTATGCTTGTATGCCAAGGCTGTCTACGTGTGCGTGTTTGTAACTACATTTTCACTGGTCTAGGCATAGAAATCCCAAGAAATAGATATTCCTCATTTATCAAAACTAAAAATTACATACATCTAAGGAGGCTCTTTACATTATCAAGTCAACTCTGCCTAGAGAGTCAATACACATTGCACAGCCAACTCTACCAGGCTAGAATACCACTTTCCTCAAAATCCATTTTAAGGTACAGCAAGATGTTCATCTCCGCAATGACCCAAACGATATTTTTTGACCTCGACCTCTGCTGTAGTGAAGTTTGAAACCTTAAGGATTGCTGTTCAAGTCCATTACTGACTTCTGGATTTGGTTTTGCCACCTGCAAAATTTAGATCAATTTCCGCTCTTGGAGTTTTAAGATTCAGCAGAAGAGAGGGACTGTTATTATTCCCAGGCTCTGTCCATGCAGGCAAATCTCTCTTCTGCCACACGTGGGGAGGCACCTCACCGAGGAGGATGCTGTCAAGGGGCACGTGTGAGTAAAGCAAGCTTCGCCTCCACCATCGCTCTTGGGCCACCACTGGAACGTTACCGTCACAAAACAATAAACACTTCCTTATCTTTACTTTCTCTGTACACCTCGCTTACCCACGTTCTTCATGGAACGGTTTTAGTAAAAATCATCAGTAGTCTAGTAGACTTGCTACTTCTGATTACAAAAGGCAAAAGAATATTAAAACAAAGGAGGTCATGTTTAAATATGCATTTGGTGGTACTCAACAGAAATTCACCTTTTTATTATGTCAAAAACAATGAACAGACCAGTAAATCTGAGGAGACTTAGGGGAGTCTTTGTTTTGGCGGCAACCCACGACGTGAAATTATTGGAAAAAAGGCAAAGTAAAAGCCGGAACTAACAAAAGGCCATAAAACAAGATGGCGGGACAGGAAGAGCACAGCGTGAGTGGCCCCAGTGAGCCTGAAGGGTCTATCTTGACACTTCCTCAATCAGATTTACCGCTGCACATAATTCTGGAATTTTAGAACATGACGTTTCAGGTAAGTGATGGTTATCATGTGTCTTTCAGAAGGGGCAATAAAAACAAAATACGGATTGACTCTGCTGTCTCATGTTTATCAGAAAGTAAATGCGTCAGTGGCCATCTTGGGCTGCTTAAATTCTGGTCAAATTAAGAATAACCACAATGGTTTATTTGAATCCTGGTTACTAAAAAGAAAAAAATAAAGTAAAACCAAACTCAGGGTATTATCAATTTTCTAAGGTTCCCTTGGAAGTAAAAGGCTAATTCTGTATACAGGGTTTCACCCCAATGTCCATAGGCATTATCCTTATTTACAAAGAAGGTTTTAATCTGAAGTTGCCTTGGGCATCCTCGAAATACATAAACTATGAACTTCGGCGGGAGAATTCCATACTTGAAAGTTGTGGCCTCAAAGTACTGGCAAAACAAAGAAGAGGGTCACCTGTCGGGACAAGTTGGGATGACGAAACATATCTCATTAACAACAGTTCACTCACGAGGATCAAACAACCACCACCCTCCCCGGCCAAACTGGAAAGAAATGGTCTTGAGCTTGAGAAGGGGGGAAACAATGCGTCTTGGAGGATACAAGATGGGATGCTTTTGCGTTATATCCTAGAATTGCTGAGTCCTAAAACTAAGAAGTCAGGTGAGCACGCACAAGTGGGCCGGCCCCGCGCTCCCCGTCCGGGGTCTAGAGCGGCACGTGGCTGAACAGGTAGGACACAGATTCACCGTTGTGTGTTCTCCGGATCGCCTCTGCCAAGATCATCGAGATATCAATAACCTGCAGGCCAAAAGAAAAGGGGAGAGCACAGTGGGACACCTCAGTCGTATTTAATAGTCGTATTTATTTATACGTTTTTATTAAATAAAATAAATAAATTATTTATAGCGAAAAACGTAGAAGCCACAGAGCCCAGAAAGGATTTCTCCAGCACACAGAGACATGCGAGCACCAACCACCCCCACTTCGATCTTCAAGTTACCAACATGCATGGGACTGGGGAAGCGAGAGTTCCAGTGTGAACACTCAAAGGCTTTTCTCGGGGTCCCTGTTAGCCAGAGACGTCCTTTTCTTGGGGTGTCTCTGGTTTAATTTTACTCAATCATGACATGGAAGGCTTTCCTCTCTCGGTTTCCAAAAATGCAGTGACCGCGTCACTTAAGATCACCTCACTCAGGGGTCAGCGTACTAGGTTTTCAGGGAAGACCCAGGGGTAGTATTTTCAGCTTGGCGGGCCAGGCTCAATTCAGCCACTGTAGTGTGAGAACAGCCACGGACAATACATCGACAAATGAATGCGGCTATGTTCCAATAAAACTTTATTTATAAAACCAGGTGGTGGGCCAGACCGGGCCCGGGGGCTGTATATAGTCTGCAGATTCGCAACTACTGTCAGTCAGGGAGGAAAATCAAAGACAAAGCTATTCTGACCATTTTCTAATGCTGCGCCCCCGGCCCTGTGCCAAATGAACCTCGCTGCCACTGGACGGGTCAGAAATCATGAAGCGGGTCGCCCAGCTCCACCTTCTTGCTCTGCTGGTGACAATGGAGGCTTTTAGCGATGAAATGACTCGCCAAGGTTCCCCGCAGCACAGAGCCAAAACGGGGGCTCAAATCCCTTCGGCACAGTTCCAGGCCATCGGTACAATCTGAAGTCAGGAAGGGCAGGAAGGGGCAAAGCTCTAAATATCCTTAGCACGGCCTGTTTTTTCGCCTCCATTTTTTAAAAATTGTGGGAACATACCCATAATGTGAGAATTGCCGTTCACCCTGCCATTAACCGCACTCTCAGTGCTGTGCGGCCAATTGCTGGTGCCCATTTCCAAAACGTTTCCAGCATCCCAGCCAGCACCTCTGTCCACGTCAAGCGCCAGCTTCCCCTCCTCACCTCCCAGCCCTTGGTGACCACCACTCTCGTTTCGTCCCTCGACTGGACTGCTCTGGGCCCCTCAGAGAAGGGGGATCGTACACCACCTGTCCTTCTGTGGCCCGCCGCGTGCGCTGAGCACCATGTTTTCAAGTTCACCCATGTTGTCACCTATGCCAGACTATCCTTCCTCTTTAAGGCTGAGTGATGCTCCATTGGCTGGACCCCACCTTGGCGGTCTACTCCCCTGTGGAAGGACTCCTGGCCGCTTCCACCTTCTGGCTACTGCGAAGAGCACTGCTATGGACAGACATGCGCAAGCTTTCATCCGCACACCTGTTTTCAAGTCTGGGGGTACAGAGCCAGAGGTGGACTCCTGGGGCATATGGTCATGCTGTTCAGCTTTAGCCCGGCCTGTTTTCAACTGCTTTCCTGGTGTGGTTTGATCGGCTTAGTGTTTCTAACTTGGACCTCCGCTGGCCGCAGCCTCGCTCAGACCCAGCGGGGATCGCGCCCTTGGTTAGGAGAGGCCACAGGCCCCCATGGAAGACTCGGGGCTGTTTTTAGGATTGGACGGATGTTCCGCGCTGCTCGGTTCTGCCTGCCATATAGCAGTACCTGAATCTTGGGACAGTGCCTCATTTTGTCCTCTTGTGGAATGGTGTTTGTGACGACAACAGCCTCAAAGGCGGCATTATTTATTCGGGAAATAGCTGGTCCCGAGAAGATCCCGTGTGTCAGGATAGCATAAACTTTGGTGGCTCCAGCCGAGAGCAGCCTGTAAAACAGAAGGGAAAAAAAAAAAAAAGAATATCCTTGAAACATTCTCCCCTTAGTGTGATT